ATATAGAACACTTGTCTTGTGGTTGCCAATTAATGAAACTGATATACATTTATCTTGATGGGTACCAGTGGTTTAAACAATAAGCCTTAGCAGACTTCACTGTTGCAGCCTCCTTTATAATTAGACTTTTGGTCTGATTATTATCACAACTTCATACATTTTCCTCTAATCTCCCATTGGTTGTCAGTACAAGTTATGCTGACATTAAATCTGTTTGTCTGTCAATTGAAAATATCACTAATCAAGCAGTATATCACACAGTGCTTTTTTAATCTCTGAAATAACTTTTGGTTTTATTTTCTAATGCTGTTTATTTAATTGTTAAGTGTCTGAGTCTGCAACAGGCTGAGCATTGCCTTTCTTCAAAGTGAACTGAGAGCTCTCAGTCCCTCACAAAGGAGCTGAGTACCTTTTATGATCAAATCCTAAGTACATAATAAATATGTAAAAAGGCAAAGCTTCTTTCCACTGCTAATCACTGAACTTTAAATAATATTTATAAAAATATTCTGTTTTAATACTGATAGGAGTGTCTTAATGATTTGATGAAATAAAGAGCCTGAAGAACATCTTTATCACAAATAGAATGTTTATCTGATGTACACAAACAATGAGTACTATTTTACATGAAACAATGAACTATTTCAAAACTATAGCTGAAATATATGTTACTACTCAACAACTTTTGCATCATTCCATGCACAGAAAGCACCAAATATCTTCTGAAGAAAGCAGCACTTTTGAAATTAGCAATTCAAAATGCAATCTGAACCCTTACTTAATTCATTAAGTAAGAGTATCTTTTAGTGCCAAATGCTACCTAATTATCAGCTTTAAAAAAATGTTTTACATCTTAAAATACAATATTCTGTTTATCCTAGATTGTCTGGGGAACATCTAGTACATTAAAAGGTTTTTGTAGAGCTTCTAAGTGATTTAACTGATATCATCATGCCTGCTAGCAATTTTGCAACATTCTGAAAACATTTTCCATAAATCAAAGCCTTAGCAGCAG